TTGATGCACGGTTTAAAAGTCTCAGGTCAACTGATGCCCTCTGAGGGTCAGGTCAAGTGCCCCGAGGGCCAAAATACGATTTCGGGTTTTGAAAAATAACTTTGTCAAAAACGGCGCAGAGTCGCTATTTTAGTACCATCATGTTTGTCATGCTCCGGTGCGTCAAAATGGTACACTTTTGTTTGGGTGGGGTCAACATAAGGTGTTCACATCGGATCAAAGCCAGGTCAGAGGCACTCAGGTCACGAACTTGGTCGGAGGAGGTTATATCGCATATCATTCGATTCGGTAGGTCTTCCCGAGTCTATTGGCGACTTTTCCGACTTGCCAGCTCAATTGTATCAGGAGTTATTGACGAAAAAACTTGTGACATTTGTGACGTCATGAATGACGTCACGCGAGGTTAAAGATGCAAAAGTGAAGCATTGGACATTGCAAGAATTGCATGAAATTGCGATTCCATGTGCTTGAGCTAGGTTTAGATCATTCTCGGCGTCAAAATTAGTTTCCATATTTTCCCCATTGACTTGTAATGGTGACGTCGCGCGATCGGCCTGACCTCATGTGACCTCTAGGAGAAATCTGAGATATACAAGTTTTGAGACTCCTAGAGGATACTAGGTCCTGTAAGTATCAGCTCGCTGTGACAGCTCCTCTGGCACCGAGGGCATTGCGAAGTTTCGGTATTTTGGGACTATTGCAGAGGTTCACGTGTGACGTCATAAGTCAGTGACCTGACCTGAGACGGAAATGCAATTGGTTTCCAAAGATGCGTATGGAAGCAAAGATAAGGTGTGCCAAATAGCAGCCCTCTAGCTGTAAGGTGTTTTGAGCTATCGCCAAAAGTCGTGAGTGGAGCGCTACTGACTCCTCCGGTCGGCCGCCGGGGGTAAGGAGGCGTGCAGGGTATCGGAAAACCACCTGGTACTTTGCGAATTTTGCCGATAAAAATACGTTTCTTATGCCAACTTGTAGCCAAAAGACTACTGAATCTCAAACCAGTCGTATCCTTGCACTAAATGGCTTGGTTTAGACACGATAGGTCTGAAAAGAAAAGGTCCCATGTATTATCTATGGGCGCCGCGAGGCCGTTGGCACCAGAGTTTCGGGAAGTGCCCTCGCCACAACCGCACGTGCAGATTTGGTCACGTGACCAAGTGCATTTGCCGCCACTGTATTTATATACACTGTGAGAATTTCCGCACAGCCAAAATGAAGTCAAGAGTATTTGTATGTCATCAAGAATCGCAAACTTCATTGCAATTCTCACTTCATTTTGATTTCCCATTGACAGAAACACACACGTTCTATATACCCTGACACACACCATCCACACGATCTTATGATTTGTGAATCAGAATGTGAGACGTGAGAAACCACGCGATGAATGACCTTGAATTTGTTTCGAAACATGCGCGACTGCTACATTCTTAGCAAAAAATACTTCTGAAGCTCAAAATACTTTTTGAGTAGATTCAGCCTGTAATTTTTTTGTACATTTTGAATGAAATCCTAATTTTTCACTTTGAATTGTTAAATCTTCAGCACAGTGAGCTTCTGGTTTCTTGAACTCGTATTTGATTTGTCACGAATGATCGAAAGACGATAAAAGTACCACAGCTACGCAGCATTAGTTTATTCAAGTACCATCTCTAAAATACACAACTCTTGGAACTGTTGGTCGGTGGATGGGGTGATGGGCGTGGAATTATTGTTTTTTATGGCTCCTCTAGTGCGGATTTGATGCATTGAATTGCATTATATAGTTTGCCAACATACCATACCGTTGATTCTGTTGTAAAGGACTTTGCAGACACACACAAGTAAGGTACCTACGTTTCTCATTACATCAGTACCTATTCCAATTCACCGCTAGTTTTGGTTTGAGGCTTGAGCTAAACCAGTTAAAATAGAAATGTGTGCTTTCTACCTGTACCAGCATGATTTGCTAAATATCCGTATTATTTGAAACTGATATAAATGTTTCCTCTGGAAACATTGATTCATTTAGGTTCATTTATGCCCTGCAACCAGCTGTCGGCTAGGAAATTTTGTGAAATATTGTTAATTTTTAGGAAAATATGCAATAAAATGTTATTGAAGTTTCATTTTGCAGCCTGTAGGAAGGTACTCTAAGTTGAAGTTGGAGTGTATTTTGGAATTCATATAATACATATTCATATTCTTACCTGGTAAGAATACCAGGTAAGAATATGTGTTCATCAGAAATGGTACCTGTGTGTTCACATGTCCCAAATGCTCACCTATTACTGGCTCATTAATATTACTGGCTCATTAATACTGTTTCAATAGATCCTGTCTACTCTCTCCCTTTTCTGTTTATTCAAATTTTCATGTCAATTTCTCCCAATACGCCATTCTCTTATTTGATTTTTTAAGCCAGCGTATTCCAGCCCGAAAGAACAGGATTTTTAGATGGAAAGGTTCAAGATGCAATGAAAGCTAAAAGTCACACTGGAGTCAGACAGATGTGTTACTGATGAACCAAGAAAAAAGTAAAAACAGCAAATGCGCGGTCTATCTATTTATTGAGCAGAAGTGTGTTCTATAGACTAATGCATTTCAACCATTTTTGTTATTGTTCAGCTTGATAAATCAATATTTAGGCATTATTTATCAGCTGACTCTGGTTTATTGTACATGCCTGCCTTATCAATATAAATGAGTTGGTTTCTGATAATGTAAATAAAATGTTTCCCTAATATTTCAGCATTACATGTTGTAGCTCATAAAAGGTCCTGTCAGCCTTTGCCTGTGTGTGTGTCCTTCAAATCAATGTCCAGTCCTGAACTGGTTCACCTTAAGGCAAATCCTTATGGCTCTTCTGGGCTTATATCCTTTTCAGGCCAGTACTATACTGTTATAAATTTGCTGAGGGAGGATGAAAGGTGCAGTTCAAAGTTCAAACTGTGAAACTAGGTGATTTGGATTCACCACTGCTATTGTTTTGCATGCAACATTCTACTTTCAAGGTCCATAGTGCTCTGTTTTAATGTGATGCTTCATTTAGGTTTGATTTCAAGATTTTAGCCCTGATCACAAGCAGAGCTTACTGGTCTGAGATGTTGAACCTCAAGCCAGCTCAAGATATTCATCTCATCCACTAAGTCTTAAGCAGGGTGCCTAATGATATCTCACTTAGTGTGATTAAAAGTTGTGAGCTGAGCAAGGAAAAAGCATTCTTTCAATGTCTTCCAGTGGTGGTGATCGCCCACTGGTCAGGTCTGACTCAAAAATTAAGTTGGCTCAGGTCTGACTCTTGAATGAATGCAGTTTGTTTGGCTTAAATAGGTACCTGTCTATGTGGAAAGAGTCATACTTCTTGTAGTAGAACTTAGAAGAAAAGCAACTACTGGTTGGCATGGTTTCTGCTCCAGTAATACCAAATCATCAGATAATCAGGAGTGATCTAATGATAGTTTGGAAGGTCTTGTGAGGGTCTTGTGTTTAGTTTGGAGGGTCTTGGGACAGTAAAATGCTGGTTCTATGTGAAATTAAACCCACCAACTTCACTGCTCTCAACTTGCAGGCTGCAGTGGCAATGCTGGTCTGTCCACAGTGCTGGTTACACAGTCAGCTCCTAGATGTCAGGACGGTCGCTACGAATGCGTCGGGCAAACTCCGAGGCTGACCGCCTCTGATCTTTAGGAAATGGGCCTGCCCGCTCACCACTGTTTTCCCTCACTTGTTAATTGTTGCCCATGATCTAAATCTCGGTCAAGGGTACGGGGGCTGGACTACCCGATTTGCAAGCCCACTTATCCCTTATCATGTGTAATATTTTTCTCAAACATTTGCATAGGACTAGTGGCTTGTGTTTACCGAGTCGTGATTACTTTGCTGAATCAATGGGGGGGGGGGGGATTACAGTGGTAAGTAGCTTAGTATAAGCATTAAGCAATGGTCATGAGTGCATACATTCACAGTGTTCTAACGCAGGTATTGTATGCAAAGTCAAGTTAATCCGCTCGTGCCATTTGACGCTTTATTAATGAATGCTATTTTTTTAAGGTATCTGACCGTATGGGCTCTCAAGAAATTTAACGTTTTTCCTGATGATTGAGCGGAGCTCACTTCTTCAGTTGCCGTATTTTGGTATAATACTTTTACCAACGTACCGCAACCGTAAACGTCCCAAAATCACAAAGGCTGCGAATGTTCCGAAGGTCGCATCATACTCGTAATGTATCGCATCATATACCAGAGTACCTCGACTTTCGGAATTGCTTGAGACACATTCACATACCGACAACGAAAGGATGGCGATCGGCTTATAGTTATTTAGTTATCTCTTTAACTAAATTGTAACGGTGGTCCGATTCTCCGTCAAGGATTCGTGTGTTCCTTCTACCTTACTCGGTGATTGCTAGCTGGGACGGGAACTCCGGCGCTGGTGTCATGTCGTGCTCGCGTGGTGCCCGAACTGTATTTAGGAGGGCCCGGTCCGGTCGGCGGCTTGTATGGGCCTACCACGGAGCTGCGGCGGCCTCGGCAGCACCCGCTCGGCCCGCCGCACCATTCCTGACACCGCCAGGTAGGGGCGGCCGCTCGTCGGACCGACCGGGCGATGGCGTGCGGCGAACAGTGTCCCCGGTAGTCCGCCGTCCCGACCGGCGGGCTCGCGTGGCAGCGGCAGGACAGAGGCAGCTCATTGCGGCCGCCGCCGAGCCGTCGCCTCGCCGCCAGCCGTCGGTTCGCGCCGGGCCGCGGCTGCCGGTCGGACCACAGTGCTGCGCCGCCAGCCGCGCTGTGAGCAGGCTCGGGAGGCCACTGCGAACACACACAACCGGACAGACTCGGTGGTGGCGGAACTGGGAGTGGTGCGAGCTGCGGGGGTGACTGAAACGCTGTGCTAACGATGAAGAGCGCTATTTAGTGATAAACTTGATTAGAGGGTGGTGAGTGGTGATTGGTGATAAACTCACGAGTTACGCCGTAGATCCGTGACTGGTGATAGCGGATACCGCCGGTGATTTCTGCGATTTGTGATAGCTCCAAGTACCGCCGGCTGACGCAGTGATCCCAGTGACCCGTCCGGCGATGACGGGGCGGTGATCGAGTGTCGTCAGTCAGTGTGGCGTGACCGCTGACTGTACCAGTGGCACTGTATAGGGACAGCAGTGTAGAACAGCTCCGACCGCCGTCTGAACCTCCGCCATGCCGTGTCTTCCGTCAGGCTCCGGCTCGCTCAGGAAGCGCAGTATGGAGCGCAAATTCACCCGGGTGCTCGCCCGGCCCGGCATGGCCGCCCAGCTGCGGGAGAACGTCAGTCAGGCCGTCAAGGAGACCACCATTCAGGTACGGTCACGAACGCACCGCGGCCGGGCGTGATGGCGCCAGGGTGGGGCCTCACGTGATTGAGGGGGAGGGGAGGGAGCGGGGCGTGTGTGACCTTCAAGCCCAATTTGTGGTCGCCTCATAAGGAGGAAGGTCAGAATAAAGTGGGCCAACGTTCGGCGGGTGAGTTAAGATGGCGTTTCCCTTTGTCAAATCTTATTATCATCCCAATTAGCGCATGTGTCATTATTTAGTCAAACGTAAATCTGATGGTAAACAGTTCAACAGGTGTGAGAGCTCTCACATCCTTCCGTGTCTGGCACCGCTGGCCACTAGCTGACCTTTCCCTCGAACGACCCACAGACGCAGCGTCACATCACCGAGCCCCTCGACTACGAGGGGTACGTGTCCAAGAACATGACGATTCTGCGGAACGACCCGCACCGCGAGCTGCTGCTCTTCCCACTGGACGACGTGGAGGTGAGTTCCCTCTGGGTGACGCAGCTGTGAGCTCATCACATCCTGCGGCGGTGACCGGTCAGCTGACCGGGCTGTGTGAAACCGGAGCTCAGTCGCTGGTCACCTGATCCTATATAACTCGATCCGGCCAGTGCAGTCAGTAGTCAGCGCACTACAATTCCATAAACAAGATTAAATTGCTTATGTTTGAGTTTTATCTTGCGCAGTAGTAAGTGCAACATTACCCAATCAACCAGCTTGCTTTCAAAACCCAGTTTTTCACCCTTGTCGAGATGCCTCTACTCCGTGACAATCCTGTATTCTGTGACAGCTGACCACACTCTCCCCTCAGTGTCAGGTGCTGCTCCCGAGTTCCTGTCCTCCTCTCCCCCGGCCCGGACCGCCCCCCCCCCCCCCCCGATGACCCGCCGGCCGGGCCTCTCCTGCAGTCGGGACCGGGTGCATGGTGATCGAGCCAGCAGCGCAGTCGTCACGTGCTGATGAATAGAGAACGTGTCCTGGCAACCCCTGACGCTCGCGATCGGCCGCCCCGATATATGTGGGGCCGCCACGGCCGTCGCCGGTGAATTAATTAGCGATTTCAGCGAGCGAACAGTCAAGAGACCACGGTTTGTTGCTGGATTCTCAGCCGTGAGGGTGTGATGGCTTAGCCCCACGGCTGAACCGGTTGCCGGGGCGAACAACAGCCGACGTGTCGTGAGGAGCCCTGTTCGCCTCCTCCGTGGTGACTGTGCCGGCACCGTGCATGGTATGCCGCCCATATATGGAGCGGCGCCCGGTCGGAGCTATGCGGGTCAGCCTACCACTCAGGGGACGGCTCAGGTAGCTCGGCAGAGATACGATCTGTCCGAACCTGGGCACTGCAGGGTACATTGTCACAGCGAGCCGAGGTAATTGGCCCCCCGGCCGCATTGTTTGGTCTCCAGGCGATCACCAGCGGCCAGCCTCGCCTGACATTGTTTGTGATGCCGGCGGAATTTCGCCCGTATTTCGGCAGCCGGATTTGGCGAGATCGCTATCGCTGGAGCCTTTACAAGGTCTAATGAAAGTATAATACCTGTCGTCGGCCTTCACGGCAAAATTGCCTCGTGTGTTCTCACGGAAACATGGCACACGAGTAGCTGTGGTGAGTGAATCACAGTTCCTCTCACTACCAGGCACTAGCAGTGATGACGTGATGGCAATCTGGATAGTGGACAGATTTTACCGGACGTGACTCACGCGATATTTATCCGTCAGCTAATGACAATATTGACAAGGTCATCTGCAATCACAATTTCGCTGCAGCGCTTATTGTAGACGGCTTATCACAGCGATATGGGTGTCATCAAAGCCGCACTATCTCGACTCTGAGTGTGCTTTCATAATCGTATGTTAGTTCATACTTGACCGCCGAGATTGCCGGGAGTGTTGAGGAAATGACGAGGCTTCATATGAATGGGAGGCTCTTATTACGTGGCCGGAAGCGTGACGGTTCTTACTGGTGAAGTTTTTGTTCGCGTACAAATTTGATCTACTGCTAAGTTTTGATGCGGTTTTATTCGTATGAACAATTTTTGATTTGTTGATTGTTTCAAGTAATTACGTTAAAAAATGAATCCATAATGCAACTAGCGCCAGCTGTGAAGGCTGTTCATGAGTGCCACATCCTATCCGATCCCCTCTGCCCGTCCCATTGCAGTTGCTGCCTTGACCCTGACACCATTCCAGCTCAAAGCTGATCCCGTGTGCGCTTGATAGCCTACATGAGCGGAGGCAGTCGCCCAAAAACTCCATCAGCCCTAAAAGCTGATCCCGTCTGTCCCTCATGCTCGACCCACAACAGCTGACGCTGTCTGTCCCCCTGTGTTTCTCCGCCAGTAACGACTGATCCCTTCTGTCTGTCATACTCATCCCTCAGTAGCGACTGACCCCGTGTGACGCCCTGTTCTCCTCCCTCACTATCGACTGACCCCGTCTGTCCCGCCGTGCTCCTCCCTCAGCAACACGTGCGCGAGCAGCACGGCTCGGCGCTGGGCGCTCCTCTGGAGCAGCTGGCTCTGCAGCAGGCCGACAACCACATGATCCGCGAGTGTCTGGAGACATACACGGCCCGACTGGTGTCCGTCAAATACAAGTACGACGCGTACGCGGCCACCTATCTACAGCTGCCCAGGTGGGTAGAAACGGGGAGAGATGGGGAGGTACGGGTCTCTCTTAGAACGACAGGTGGGTGGGGATGGGACGGGCCAGTAGAAGTTACGGGGAGGAACGGATGGGTCTCTGAAAATTATGGCGGGTGGGCCTTGTTAGCAATGAGGAACGTGTTGCCACCTCCATATGTCTAGTCGGAAATGGACGGGGAGTGTTAAGAGTTCAGGACATTCACAGGACGACAGACGGTCCTTGGTAGCGGTGATGGATGTTGCTTGCGAATGTGGGCCGGGTCGGACCGGACCGGGAGGTGCATGCGTCTCCGGGAGGGGGTGGGCCGTGACTGCGGTGGCAGACGTGTCCCTGTCCGGGTGATGTGCTCACTCACGCCTACTGGTGGGTGTGATGTAGGGCCTCTCGCGTGTTTTTCACGCCTTCTCGTGGGTGGGCTGTGTGGGACAGTACTCGATCCGGTATCGACTGCACATCGTGAGTGGGTAGACGCAGCGAGAACACGTTTTCGGCGGCGGGGCTGTTTCGTATGTAGAGCTGTCGAGATAAGGGTCTGATGTCGCGGTGGGTCTGACGGTTGGGACGAGTTGGGTGGATCCCTGTCCGGGCGACTGGTGGGAGGAGGGTTTGGTCGGGGTGAATCGGTGATCCAGTCTGCAGACCGGCTGCATTTCAGATTGTAAAGATGTCTGGTTGGTGCGAGATCACGTAGCTATTGTGGGCCGCTAGCATGACTCGTAACTATTGAATATTACATATCTTTATTGTGCTGTCTCACATGTGAGCGACTCCTCTTCAATTGCATTTCCTACAACCCTTCATTGCATATGTTCCGTTTTTTTTCTGTCTTCTTCTCGCACTGCCAGTATACTGCAATTGACACGTTTCAACTGATTACAATCGGCCAGCCGCCTGCCGCCTCCCCCCCCTCCGCCCGCACACACACCTTGGCTTACCACCTCACCCCCGCTCACCCGATTTACTTCATTGGCTTTGCCGCGTTTGCCGAGGCCCGTTTAATCGCCGGCCGGGCGTCGGGCGGCGGGCGCGCTGCGTGCCTGTCAAACAGTTTACGCCCCGATAGGTGGCCCCGTTTGCGTCACTCTCGGTCCGCGCACTGCGGCGCCGAACTGCGGACCCGAGCTCGTATGGCCTTGTTTTCTGTCAGTTTACGCGGCTCGGGAAGGGTGACGGAATTATCGCACCTTTGATTACGACTTTTTGTGACGTCTGTTTCATGCCAGTCGACTGCTTACTTTCGCCTGCTCCTTCGCGTTTTCCTGTTGGCTATTTCGGTATTGTTTTTGTTATCACTGCATCGGATCAAAATGGAGGACGGAATCTGTGCGCTCCATCTGCCTTGTACCGACCAGAGTTGCGTCACACTGTGCTTTGTGCAGCCTGTGCACCCAGGACAATGTTCAGGCTGACAGGGCAACCGTCCGGCGCTTGCACTCCGCCGCTTCTTCATAAAAACTCGCAGAATGTTCTGGGTAGCGCGGTCTGTTTGGGTCTCCGTTCGTCGATGTCACAACGTGGAGCGGGTGGCCGATCATCTGTTTACTCTGCTCCAGCCCGGCCGAACTAATCGTGCGGTACCTGTTTACCAAAGGCGCCGAGTATCGGGGCTTCACGTGCCGCGAATCCCTGTCCCCGTCGACCCGTCCTGACCTCACCATTCACGGCAGTGTAGCTGGAGAGATAGGTGCCGTGTTTATAGCACGCCATCGGGACCATTTGTATATTATGCACCGTCCCATATCGTCATTATCGTCACTGTGTAATGTGTGCATTGCTGTGTTTGGTCTTTCCGATCCAGGGTGGCATTCGTGTCTACTGTCTATTTATGTGGGGTGCTTTTCAAGTGGCAATACCCAGAAACTTATGCAACTAACCGACGTATATTTCCAAATCTATCTTTCCTTGCGTTCAGATGGCGCCTTCCAATTATGCATTTTCTATATGCTCGTACTTCAGTGCTCTCCCCCGAGCGACGACTCTTTTTAATGAGCCAACGTTACGCCTCTGTCGACTGAGTACTGCAGTTTTAAATCTCAATCACGTGTGTACCGATCCTCTGAGCGTGTTCTGCCGTCACCCTTCGCTCACCGTCCCGCCCCGTCGCCAGGTTTCCGCGCACGCCTCCGCTGCCGCCGTACGTATGTGAGTCCGACCTGGACATTGACTGTACCGACTCCATCGAGGTGCAGTCCGTCTCCAAGGCCGGCTACCTGCTGCGCGGGACGGACGGAGCCGGCGACAAGCTCTTCGCCAAGTCCTTCAAACGACGCTTCGCCAGACTCAGGTAAAGTGGTGCTGAGGGGAAGCGAGGAGAGGAGCGAAGTGATCGGTAGGAGTAGGGGCGGGTCTTGCAATACATCAGCCAGGACGTCGACAAAGTAGTCAGCGACTCTAAGGCCACAACATGTATGCACTTGTAAGTTGTAACAACAGGGATTGGCCATTCAAATATCGTTTGTGCTGCCTATTGACCTTCGGTTCAACCCGACGCTGTCTGGCGGCCCGTTATCACTACAGACAGTCCCTCAGTGAGCCAACAGACGCCTGCCATTGGGTCTGATTCGGTCAGAGTGGCGCACAATACACCGAGACTGTCTGAACGTGCTGTATGTGACGACTGGGAACCCCTGCCAGGGACAGGATTGATGGGTCGGGGATGGACCGTATTTGTGCAATGAAAGGGACTGGAGTCGGTGTAGGACAGGGTGGATGGAAAGGGGTGAGGAAGATTTAATGAGAGTTGCTTATGGTGACTAGCCTGTGAGTAAGACCGTGTTGGGCAGATTAGACGGTTGTTTGGGCTATGACAGACAGAGAGCGGCTGTTTTTAGAGGAGCTGCAAGATATGTAGATATTCCATTCGTTGTCCATGTGGAGCTTGAATTGAGGCCCAAGCCTCATTCCGGACATGCCGTTCGTGTTTCGGGTCCACGAGGAACATCTGTTCTCATTAACATACCAATCATGTATGCATTTGTCCTCTAGCTGTGTCAGTCTGGGACGGCGAAGGTCGGATGGCAGTGGCAGCACAGACATTACGGCGACCTCGCCCTGACCCTCCCCTCCCTCGGCTCTTATTGGTCCACACTGCGCGTCACATCACTCCGTGTGGCGTACTGGAAGTAATGATCCCACCTCTCCTCCCGCCGGCCCCGGCCGGTACCGTACTGCGCCTCATACTCGTCTATGTGTCGTCACTCCGTCTGTATCGGTCTGTTATTGCGATGACTAGCGTTCAGACGAAGGACGCTGGGTCACGGTGTCTGCTGTCTGGTCTTTGGTCTGTGGGGCCCTCGCGGCCGTGACGGGGTCATAAATTCAGGGGTGGTGTATTGACAAATGTCCTCATTATCCGTTTATTTTGTTTTGGCTTCAATGTGAGCCGCAAGATTTCTGAATGTGATATCACCAATCGGTGTAATTCCCCAACGAAGCTCGCGATGAATGACTTCTACCCATCCGCGTAGATTCATTGAAATGCTGTCCTGCAATTGCACAATAATGACAAAATGCTTTCAGCGTTTATCAAGGCATACTCCGCCTGTTTGTGGTTATTAGACACGATGCTTATGTTGCATGTATCCGATTCTCGTTTCTTTTCGTTTGAACTTTCCGCCGGTCCTGCTGAAAAACGATGTTAGTTATTTTATAACTATTCACTGTTCCTTACGTTTCATGCCCCCTTCTTTGCGTTGCCAGGCAAGGCGTGGACGGCAACTACGTACTCGAGTTCTACAAAGACTCCAAGTCGTCGGAGAGCAAAGGTGCCATTCCGCTGGACTTAGTCAGCGATGTGGTCAAGGTATGTGCTTGTTACCGCGCACACAAGTCAGGAACTCTATAGCTCGAGGTGCAGGATGAGCTTCTGTCCTTTCTTGCCTGATAGCTAGACAGGATGTTACATACTCAGTACTCTTATCGTCTGATGCGAGTATGATGTGAGATTTTGGACTGTTGGTCATGTCTCAATAATTGAGGCTTGTGAACGTAGATGGCTCTCTAGGAGACCATAAGGCGGACAGAAGTGGATACTATTCCGGCGTGGCTGGTCTATTACGTAGCAGCTGTTCGTAAGTGGTATTGCGCCTTTGCCTCGGACGATAAATCCCAGCCCCGCTGACTCCCTCTGACCGCCTCCGGTGGCTCCACAGGCGCCGAAGCGGGGCAAGTTCTGTTTCGAGCTGCGGTCGACAGATGGCGGTAAGGGCCACGTGCTGACGGCGGAGACGGAGGCGGACCTGCAGGAGTGGCTGGACACGGTCAGCCGGGCGGTGGCGCTCACCAGAGACGACCGGCTGTCGGTGACGTCAGAGACGGTCTCCACCACCGACGGACCCGGCACTCCGGCCCTGGGTGAGAGAGGGGAGGGGAGACTGTCTCTGCCACCGAGTACCGACGGACCCGGCACTCCGGCCCTGGGTGAGAGAGGGGAGGGGAGGGGGGACTGTCTCTGCCACCGAGTACCGACGGACCCGGCACTCCGGCCCTGGGTGAGACAGGGGAGGGGAGGGGGGGACGGTCTCCACTACCGACGGACCCGGCACTCCAGCCCTGGGTGAGAGGGGGAGAGAGAGAGAGGGGGAGGGGACAACCTGTGACCTCTGAGACGGGTCTCCACTACCGACGGACCCGGCACTCCGGCCCTGGGTGAGAGAGAGCGGGGAGGGGACAACCTGTGACCTCTGAGACGGTCTCCACCACCGACGGACCCGGCACTCCGGCCCTGGGTGAGAGGGGGGGGGGGGGAGAGACTGTCCCTGCCACCGAGTACCGACGGACCCGGCACCCGGCACTCCGGCCCTGGGTGAGAGGGGGGGGGGGAGACTGTCCCTGCCACCGAGTACCGACGGACCCGGCACGCCGGCCCTGGGTGAGAGGGGAGGGGAGGGGGGACGGTCCTCTACCACCGACGGACCCGGCACTCCGGCCCTGGGTGAGAGGGGGGAGGGGGAGGGAGCGAGGGACTGTGCGATCTCTGAGACGGCCTCGGCTACCGATGGACCCGGCCCTCCGTTCCGTCGTTTCCATCCTCAGGACGCTGAAATCCTTCTCTTCCAAGCTGCAACCCCCACTCCGGGCTGGACAGGCACCTTCATCTCATGCGGGCTGCTCCCTTGGAGCTGCACCGCTGCTCCCGAGGGAGCGCACCCCGTAGCCGGGTGCAGTGAGTACCTTGGGGGCTGGTCGGCCTGGCTAATCGGACGGGCTCAGCTCCGGTGACTCTAGAGTCTAGGATGTCGCCCAGACCAATGTCTCCCCCTAATTCCTATCATCCTTCCGGCTCTGAAATGGTCTTGTCAGACCGAAAGGGCCTAACCCAACAAAACAAACAAAAACAAAGACCCCGGCACACCGGCCCCGGGTGAAGGGAGGGGAGGGGGACAGGCCGTGACATCAAAGACGACATCCACTACGGACGGACCCGGCACTCCGGCCTTGGGTGAGAGGGAAGGGGAAGGAACGAAGGGAGCCGACAGGCAGACTGACGGGAAGAGGGGGAGCTGTTGGAATCACTTGCTGTTGGAATTTATTTGGTAGGACTAGGAATATCTGCGTTGTATTAACGTCTACCGCGTAGGTAGTTATTGAGCTGTCCTGGCTTTTTAAACATCTCCCTACCTAGCAAAACCGGTCCCTGACGCCCTCCTTGCTGCGCAGGTCCTCCGCCGGCCGACGACCGTTTCAGCACGCTGCGGGGTCTGGACCAGAGTCTGAACCCACAGCTGAACCGGTACGCGCACGAGACGGACTACCTCATCGGACAGGCGCGCACCGAGGGCCGCCTGCCAGTGTTTCAGCTCTACCCCGATATACAGGTCAGGGGATGGGGAGTGGTACGACTGGGGGGGAGGGGGAGGATCAGAGGGCCGCCTGCCCGTCTTTCAGCTCTACCCCGATATACAGGATCGGTGAGAGGTCAGGGAGCGGGTGCTGCGGCTGAGTGCTGGGGATCGTTGGAAGATTGGGAGTTATTTGGTTTATTTGTGGGAGCTATGGATAGTTTTAATGCTGTAATTTTATGTTAGATAATCGGGATTAACAGGCTGCTCGAGGCTATCAGTTTGTAAATGATGGAGGTTAATATTTTGAATAACATTCCTCCCATTTGTATGATTTAGAATAACTATGATATCTAAGTCATGAATTTTCGTCAATCTAACCTATGTTCTTCTTCCCCCTCGCTCCTTTCAGTCGACGCCGCTGTCTGTGGCGTCGAGTGAGGACCACCTGCGTACCGAACCGTTCTCGGAGGTGCACGGTGTCACCGTGTTAGTCCGCTGTGAGAGCCTCCAGTTCCGACTGCAGATGGCCGTCGACGAGACCGGAGACAACATGTCACAGGTCAGTGGGGATGAGACCGCCCCGAGACCGGAGACAACATGTCACAGGTAACGGTGCTGGGAAGGTACGGGACCAAGCACAACATGTTGCGAGTACCGGACGGGTGGGGACGTCATTAAGACTGGTGCGGGGTAATCAGCTTGTGTTAGTGCGCAATGTTATTTGGTGTATATTTCACCCCTCGACAATAATGCGTCTGTAATACCTTAAATGGATTTTTTTGTGAGGGTTACCTATTTTGACGTTACCATGGTGGTTTTCAGATCGAGCCCTATTTTGCCTCGTTATGTCTATACGACGCGAAACAGGGCCGGAAAATATCGGAGGATTTCTTTTTCGATGTGAACGAGCCCTACATTCGAAATCTCCTGCCAAAGAGCATATCTAAGAACAAGTCCCGGGGCGCGTGCCTGCTGCCGGACCTGACCCACGCGCCGCTGGAGTGGCTCTCCTATCCCAGACAGGTACGGTACAGCGCACCGATTCCTGTAGCAGCTAATGTGATGGTTACGGCAGCCAGTGCCGAGTTTGAAGGCAAGCTGCATGATAAGTCTTACGATGTTTTTTTTCCAAGCACAATGTGGACGGCTATGGAGTAGATTCATGGATGAGAGATTTGATGAATGCCCCCGGACTTGAGTGGTAAAAGCCCGAAGCAATTGATTAGATTAATTGCTGACCCGTTCCCGTCCCATCCGCCGCGACCCGTCCTCTATACCACCCCCACTGTGCGTTTCTGATCGTCCCGTTCCCCGCCCTGCGACAGGCGCTGTTTACGGTGCAGCAGCCGCACAGCGAGATATTTCTGGTGGCGCGCATTGAGAAGGTGCTGCAGGGCGCTGTCTCGGTCAGCTGTGACCAGTACTGCCGGACGGCCGACCCCAAACACGTGGCCAAAATGCACCACCAGGTGCGACAGTCGTGCGACAGGTCAGTCAGACGGTCACCGGGGTGTGGGAATTGTCATGTAATTGGCAAGTGGTGACCGATTTTTTTTTTTGTGTCTTACAAACCACAGAATCATTTTTGTCAAAATATTGATTACAGCATTTTGTTACACCTCAGCTCTACGAACGATGTCTCGATATCTTGAAGCCTTGCCTTTAGTACTCCGCTCCACTTAAGCGCACGATCAGTAGCTCAGCACTCAAACACCATTACTGTACTCGCCCCCGTCTCTCCCTCTCCTCAGACTGGGCGGCTACCGCATGCCGTTCGCGTGGACGGCGCGGCCGCTGTTCCGCTCCACGGCCGACCTGGACCCGGCCGACTTTGGCGCCCTGTACCGACACGAGCCCAACAGGATGACCGAGGAGGACGTCCTCAAACTGCTGCAGGACTGGAGAAAGTGAGTCTGACCGGGACCTCGGAAGTAGGGTGAAGGTCGGGCTGGGACGGGCTCGTTAGGTGCATTTTCACGTCCTACTTAGGCATCAGTAGGTCGACTCTAATTTCGATTACTTTCTGGAGCTTATTTTGATATATGAATTGCGGATTTTTAGATAAATCGGCTACAATTAATGCTCGGCATGTTTTCCGATGCGAAGATGTCTTGGCCCCGTCCACTGCCCGTATTTATGTGTCTGACTCAGCGCCGTCCTTGGTTTTCAGGCCGGACAAGCTGAGTCGTCTGGCGGTGATCCCCGGCTCTCTGAAGGTCACCGTTCAGATACACAGCGGACAGCCCATCAACAGTGAGTGGCGACAGTTATTGTTCACGCACTTAACGAAAAACTCCTCCGAGAAATATGTCTCATTTTTTGCTTCCGTCTATTTTATTGACGGTTACAGAGACAATAGTTACTAAGGTCGACACTCGGCCGATCAGACCCGGCCCGCCCAGCAGCTGCCCATGAGTCGCCCGTTCGTATTCCCTCCACAGATTGTTTGTCTTTGCAGTCCTCTCACCACCCCTGTCTCCCCCGCAGACTGTCTATCGCCGTCTCTGGTGCCGCTGAAGCCGTTCCCGGTCCCGCCGTCGTGCCCGCCGACTCTGAAGCTGCAGAGTCTGCCGGCGCCGGCGCCGGAGCTGGCCGTCCCGCACACCGGCTACACAAACCTGCTCTACGTCTACCCGCGCCGGCTCAAATACGACGCGCAGAAGACGTTCAAGGCGCGCAACATCGCCTGCCGCGTGGAGCTGCGGCAGGGGGACGACGAGAACGCCGCGCCCCTCGAGGTATGTGTCCGACGGGATCGTGGAATGGTAGAGATTCATACTGCGATGATACCGAAAATAGCCTCAGACAAGCCGGTATCTGAAACAATGTCGCTTCGCGTCTATGTGCTCTTTTGAGCGCGATGACTTCGGTTTGATGACCATGGATATTTTCGTCGTCTGATAAATACTATCGCACCGTCCTGAATGCACGTTTTCCATAGCCGTTGTCTTGTTTTCTCGTTCTTCCTAGTTTTTGTTTTCGTTGCCTCATTCCTCCGTGTGTCCTCTGGACATCTGTGTAACTCTGACCCGTCTCCGTCCCTTGCCCGGCAGTGTTTTTACGCCCGGCCGGGCCAGGGGTGCAGCTACACGACCAGCCAGCTGACCTCGGTGCTGCACCACGAGACGACGCCCAGCTGGGGCGGCGAGGTGAAGCTGGCGCTGCCGCTGGCCGTGGACGAGCGCCACCACCTGCTCTTCACCTTCTACCACGTCAGCTGTCAGCCCAAGCCGGCCAAGCGCGGCCAGGAGACGCCCGATGCCGTGGTCGGCTACAGCTGGATACCGCTGCTCAGCAAGGGCAGGTCCGTCGGCCGGCGGGAAGGTGTCTTAGATGGACTGATTTTGATAACGATGATTTGTACTGTTACCATTTTGTTCTTACCAATATTTGGGTCAGAATATTGACGAGTAGAGAATGTTGGGATATTGGAAAGTCGACAGGGATTACAGATATGTATTGTATTAGTGTGTTTGTGAGGAGAGTGGGTATTTGGGTGCTTGTGTAACCACTGACCAGCGTGTGTGTTTGTGTTTCTGTGTGTCACAGGCTGAACCTGGACACGCAGACGGTGGTGGTGCCCTCCCCCTCCCTTCTCCTCTGTAGCCAGTGTGTGTGTGTGTGCATCTATCACAGGCTGAACCTGGACACGCAGGACACGCAGACGGTGGCGATGGCCGCCCCCCCCCCCTCTGTCTGTATCTCCTGTGTGACCAGTTTCTGTATGTCTACCGCAGGCTGAACCTGGACACGCAGACGGTGGCGGTGGCCGCTCACCTACCGCCCGGTTACCTGGCCGTCGAACCGCTGGGGCTCGGCAGAGGGGTAAGTCAGGTACTGATCCGAACCCGCCGGTCCGCCGTCCGCCTGTGCGGCGGCAGCGGCGGGCCGGCGATATAACTGGCCTCACAGCCGGACCGGGGCGGAGCAAACACTAACGCTGGGCTGGACTGAGCTGCTGAGCTGAGCTGAGCTGAGAGCCGAGCTGAGAGCGGAGCCGAGCAGAGCTGGCTGCCGAGTCAGGGTCACTAACCGGGGCACTCAAGACGCAGGCGCTGGCGTGCTATTCTATCGGTGGTTGGTGGCTGCCTGAGGTAGAAAACTCGCCACTGTGCGTTTCTGGGAAACTGGTGGAAGACGCGCATGTGTGCATCGGTAGATATTGTGTGATTAACGGCTGGTTTGTTGTTATTGTTTGCTAGTCTTTTGGCGATTGACGGTTTATTTTGGATGAATATGTGATTCTATGTGATATGTAAGAGCTGACACCTGGCATAAGCATCAGTTTCCTCCTCTATCAATAGTTGTTAGCGGAGAGAACATTGTTGATAACAGTCGCATGATCACTAATGCTTGAAGTGTCGTATGTAGTTTGCATGCTTATTGTTAGTACTAACAGATAGTGTTTTTCCCTGATGTGTGTTTTTTGTGTTAACCCTGACTGCACCACTGTGATTTCTTTTCAATGCTCCCCAGCCGTTGTTCGGCGTTCGGCAGAGTTTTCGACATACCGGCGAGTTTGCTCCGACGGCAGTCCCTTCCGACAAAGTAAACCCCTGCTGACTGGTGTTGGGTGTCCGTCCGCCCGCCGGGGTGTGTCACTGTGTCAGTCGCTCGCCGGGCCCGCTGCTAGCTTTTGTCGGTGGCGGGTGTGACGTCTAATTTCGTCAGTTGTTCAGCGGTGGCGGGCGGGGGCTTTGAGGTCTGGTACAGGTAGACCTCGTAGTCGAAACACAAGCCAACGGTTGCTGTCCATTGCTTCCACCAGCTGAATACGGGGTTGTCCCATCTTTTTTTTTTGTCTGCTTATATGCGTGTGTTTTTTCGTCGTTCCCAAGACTTGCTCGAAAGTCATTAGATCCTGACGCTTTGTTTATGAACGGCCTTCATTTTTGTTGACCTTTTGCTGTCTTGGAATCTCAGTCCTCACGACGTTGATACACGTATGTGTCCAGCCGCTGGTATTGTGTGCTTTTCGTGATACTGGGCTCTGTAAATATGCCATTTCGACGTTTCGACGCGCGTTCGACATTTGAGCGGCTATATGACGTGCGTGAATCATCAAGCTGTAATCGTGTTGTAGATATGAGAACTACTGAACTAATAGCGAGAAACTAAGTCAAGCTATCGTCCAGAAAAATCCGTTATCCTGTGCTCACCGCACACGGCACAGTGCACAAACATCAAGCGCAACTGCCCGTAACATTTGCAACAAAAAGCGACACAGCTGCGTCAAAGTGCATGTCACACTTCCAATGTGCAATAGCCCCATGCTTCGGCGGCAACCACCCCCGCCCGGGACACTCTTTGGCCTGCGTACGACCTCCCGTGTGCAGCCTCGTGATTGACCTGCTTGCCCGTGGTCGACCTCCCCGCCTGTTAGGTCACGTCCTCTCGAATATCCGTATGTGACCCATACCCTTACCACCCCCCCCCCCCCTCTCCGCCAGTACGCGGGCCCGGAGATCCGCTGGGTGGACGGCCAGAAGCCGCTGTTCAAGGTCACCTTCCGACTGGTGTCCACCATCTACACCCTGGACCAGCACCTGCACAACTTCTTCCTGCACGCGCACCGGCTGCGCGAGTCCCGGCTGCCGACCGTCTACAACTCGGATAACGAGACCACCAAACAGGTCAAGGTTAGTGGGGTGAGGGAGAAGGGGGGGGGGGCACTTTGATGGGAAATGGAGAGTTCGTGGGTAAATGTGTAGTATTGAATCGATTGATGTGGTTAGTACGGTTTGGTAATTGCATGAGGTTATGAACTATAATTGGTTTTAGTTCAGATCTGTGTTACCGATTTTTGTGTGGGCAGTCAGCTGTTTTAGACTGTTTTTTCTTCACAGTTAACTATGAAAATGAAATGTGACGTGCGTGCCTTTCATGAAATATAATATCTAATATTTATTGAGTAATCCAACGTTCGATTTTTGTATCTTTGTGTGAGACGGTTTAACGGGAGACACCAACCGTAGTTGGCTGTGTGTTCATGTTGAGCTGTTATCGACTGAGTAACCTCCTGTTTTCTAGGTGGTGCACCATCTTCCCAAAATACTCAAGGTCTGGCCCATTTGTTGTGTGTGGGCGTTATGTGTGTCTGTCCGCCTGTCTGTGTGTTCCGTGTCTTTACTGCTTGGGCCCGGCTTGGCAGGAGCACCAAATGTCAACGTACACCCACTGGAGAACTCTCAGTGGGCTCTCCTCTCACTAAGTGTGCACGCTCAGGCCACCGCAAACTTTTGATAACGCTCGACTCTACATGTCGCAAATCAAGGGGGGGGGGGAGGCTTTAGAAAAATATGATTGCTTCTTATTCCAAAACTTTCTGTTTCGGTATGCTTATTTTTCTTGCAGGTTTGTTGTCCCCATTTGCTTGATCCCATTTTGCTGTTTTGATTATTTCTTCATAAGTTGTCTGTGTGCTGAATCTTCATTTACATCTCATCGAGGCGCAAAGTGAACTGCATGCTATTGTTGTGAATCATACCATTCTTTATTCGTCATGATGCCACTGAATTTCATTTCGATAATGTCTTGTATTTAGACGATCCATTTCGACATGTGTTTGTGTCCGGCTTTTCTTCAGCACATTTTATAGTTGACTTATTTTTTCGTGATTGGCATGAACACTGGATTGACTGACATATTTTGTTGTGCTAAAGCCGCGTCATTCCATAACTACTTATTTCCCCATTCTTGACATGCCTGAAAATAAAACGCATCTTGTAAACCTGCCTTGGTCTTATATGGAGGGTACCAGAAACCGAAATTACTTTACAGAAACTACACGGGCTCCTCCCTTACACATTTCCTGATCCACTCAACTCCACCCGTCTATGCAGTAATCGCCACGCACTTTGTATGTGGATCGCTCTTAAATGTAAATACAATACAAATACAAATACAAATACAAATACAGCTCTCATCAGCCTCCCCGTCCCCCTCCCCGCCAGGCGCTGCACGCGATCGACGTGGCCACCCTGATCCGGTTCCTGCCGACGCTGCTGAACCAGCTGCTGCGAATCGTGGTCAGTACCGACTCGGACGAGGTGCTACAGAACACGCTGCGCGTGCTCACACACGCCATCACCACGCTGCACCAGGTCGGACGGCAGCGGCTCGTCGACATCTACACCAGGGTGAGAGCGGAGCGGAGCGGCGGGGCGGCTGTCGGGGAGGTGCTGTTATGGAGGCTGGGGTGGACTCTGTGATGAGTGCTAACGTGGCAATATAGGGGTATAATTACATGACATTCACCGTATATGCTTTGTGATGATTTGTGTTTCTCTCGCCATGTGTGTCGCCGTTCTGTTTGTTATGTAAAAGGCGAATAGATGCGACTTTCCATTTAAAGCGTAGGTGGCAGAGGTGGCGTCCCCAGTTGGTACGTCAGATAGCTCTGTTTTCTTTTCACCTGTACCTGCTGACCTGTCGGTAACTGACCCTCCCCCCTTCCTTGGTCTGTCTTTTTATCAGCACGTGTTCTCTGAGCCGCGGCCGCCGCCGGCCGCCGGCCGCACCGTCCACGAGGCGCTGTGTCGCGGCCTCGCCCAGCTGCTGCAGCCCAGCAACATGGACTTCCTGCTAGTTCACAAACTGCTCCGGCACGCCAGCTCCCTGTTCGACATCATCGTCAAGTCAATGGCGCTGCACCTCCTCAACTCGGGACGCATCAAGGTGGGTTGGTGTCCCTGCCGCCGCGAGAAGAGTATGAGAGCGAAACGGTCAAAGCGTGCTGTTGTGGTGCGCTTCGGAACGGCTTTCGTAGAGAATATGAGGAGCTTGTCACTGATTGCAGGCGGTTGTGATGATAATTTTTGCAGTGTTTCTTGGCAGTAGTGCTATCTCGTTAGAGGTTTGCTCTATCCTAGTCGTAGTTCGCTGAATCTCATGTGATTTCTTCTGTCGCCTGTTGATATGTCAGTGCTTTCTGAGTTTATGAGCAGCGGCGGCCGGCCTGCACAGACTCTGCCTCTGTGGTCGGGCTGGGTTTGGGTCGGTGGGTGAGGACGGGTCGGGCCGCCTCTCAGTCCTCCGCCCACCGGTCCTCAGGTGCCGTCCTCGCCGCCGCAGGAGGACCTTGAGGACACCAGAGGAGTGAGTCCTCTCCCGCACGAGGCGGCGCTCCGTGGCCCGGCCCAGCCTGGTCGGCCGCGGCGTGTTTTAAACACCCACCGCTCCGCTTTTACAGACTAGCTGCGCCTTTTCCCGTGGGATGTTTTCTCGGATGGTTTTGCTCTAGCTGTGCCGTTTGCACGTGTGGTGTGTGTGCTGTGTGGACGGAAAGTTTGACGTGGTCACGGTTTTAGGTGTGGTGTGAGTACGATTTTTGGACGGAGTACCTCTCGATTGAACTGCGGCAGAGGCATCTTACCTACCATTTACCCTCCTATCCCCACCTAATATTTTATGCACTCTATATTCACGTGATTCCATCGCATTTTATATTTGTCGTGTTAGTTTCAACACACCACATCATTGTATGTGAGGTAGCGTTTGCCTTTTTATTATGTCCTATGCTCAGCACTTTGCAGTCGTTTTTTACTTCTTAGTCACAGTTTGGCTTATGTTTTCGGTATTTTGGCTATGACCTAATTAAATTGTAGCGTAGTGCCCGTACCTTAGCACCCTCTCATGCACCTCTGCCACGTCATGTTTTCGCATTGTTTTAACACGCTTTATCCCTGTCTGGATCCAAGTTATTTGGCAAGCATTATCTGCACTTGTTTTTTTTTTTTAAGCACGAAAATGGCATCCGCGAATTTATGAATTTGAACACCCTTTCGCACATTCAAATATATTTCCACGCTGTGTATTCCTCAGCCTGCACCCCACCTTCCGTCACCCCTCCCCACCCTCGCCCTCGGTCTGCTGTGGCCTCCCCACCGCCGCTGGCCGCCCCCTCACCCCGCCCCGGCCCGTCTACAGATGCAGCGCCACGAGCGGTTCTCGGCCTCGTTCAACACGCAGCTGGAGACGATGCTGGAGGCCTTCTACCCGTACATCCTGCAAAAGTACAAGGAGCTGCCCATCGAGACCCGCGAGGCCAACCGCAGCATGGCGGCGCTGCTGAAGGTGGGGTATTTGTCTGCGCACTCCATCGCTGGTTTAGCTGGTGAATTATTAATAGCTATTCTTACATGAACCGTCACCAGCTTAACTTCAGCAATGGCTGTTGCCGCCGCGGTGTTGTGTGGTACCTCCAAACTGACCCTCCCGAACGGGCCTTTTCCTAGGCTATACTGACTTGTTTTTGTCTGCCCATTTGCAGCGTTGTCTGAGTCTGATGGACCGCGGGTTTGTGTTCCGTCTCATCACCTCCTACCTGGAGAAGTTCAGTCTGGCCGACCCGCGCCTCCTCTGGGAGTACAAGTTTGAGTTTCTGCAGATGGTGTGTGCGCACGAGCACTACATTCAGCTGAACCTGCCCATCTTCAGCCCGGCGCGGGTCACCGTCCGCTCGCTGCAGGGTGAGGACGGAGGGAGGAAAGTAATACGTTGATTCCAGCTAATTTGCTTGCCGTGAGGCTGTATGTTTAACCTGGTATTTTTCATTTCTGAGCTATCAATTCAAGTGTGGTGTATATTTAGAAACAGATCTGTGTACGTCCACTGCGTTTTGGTCCTGTTCTCGTCCCTCAACTCTTCTGCCGTCGCGACGAACACTTCTTCATCTTCTTCATCTTCGTGTTATCGGGGCAAGAGGCACGATGTCCTGTAGGGCCCGTTCTCGCCGATTCACTGACTCGCTGACACTGACTCGCTTGTGTTCGTCTTGCAGATTTTGAGCAGCAGTACTTTATGTCGGAGCAGTTCAGCGCCAAACACTACCTGACCGGTCTGATGCTACACGAGCTGCGGCTGGCGCTCAGTCAGATCTCGGAGGTGCGACGGATGGCCATCCACGCCGTCCGAGATCTGCTCGTCAAACACGCCTACGACGACCGATACCAGACCAAGGTGAGGGGCTACGGCGGCGGGACGGTGTCGGGTGTGCGCCGAGAGAGTGCAAGGACAGAGACGTGTTCGTTTGCCGTTATAGCCGACGAAGGGTCGTGGCAAAATTGTGAAAGTAGATCTTATTCAAAATTGTGTTTTTGTCTTCTTTTGTGGCATACAATTGAAACACTACAGGTGATTAGTAATAGAAGGCAAAGAAAACACTTTGCTGCTATTTTCGTTTTCTTTTGCCATGTGGAGTTATTGTTAGATGTCTTCACGGTAATTGCGCCCATGATACCCATCCTCAGTCCGACCTGAAATCTCTGGCACTGTTAATCTCCGTTACAGGGTCAGAAGTCTCGGATCGCCACGCTGTATTTCCCGCTGGTGGGTATTCTGCTGGAGAACCTGCACCGGCTGGACGTGGCCGCCCCGGCCGCCGCCGCCGCTGCGGGCGCGGGCGGGGGCGGGGGCGGTGCAGCGCCGCCCTCGTCAGCGGCCGTCAGTCGGGCGGCCTCGCACCGCAGCACGGGCACCTGGCAGACGAGCAGCTCGTGGGTGATGGCCGACGGCACCTCGTCGCTGGGAAACAGAAACAGGTCAGTCAGTGGCGGGTATAGCCGGCTGGCATACAACTGAGCCGGGGTAGGGGATGGGGATATAACGGGCCTGGTCACTAGGTTAGGTGACGTGGCGAAGCGGGTGGCTATACTGGCGGCCCAAGATAGGTTAATGTTAGTTGTTCTTTGTACGATGTTGCAGGCCGTCTATCAGACTCCTGCCGCAAACTCCTGTTCCGTAGTCCGTATCGGGAAACAGGCATACACATAACTGTGTTCCTCGCGAGATTTTTCTAGCTACTTTAACGTAAGCCGGTCGTCCCCATGTTTTAGGTCTTGGCAGCCAGTGCGCACGTAAGTCGAGACGCTTGGTGGTCCGTCTTTGGTCCGGTCTCGCTTTCCTAGTTTATCGGAGCTGTTTTCACGTCTGTTCTGGGCTTGCTTTATCGTCTCTGTCATTTACTTGGTATGGCCTTTGTGTTGTGATCTAGAATTCGCCATTCGGTGTAGTTTTGTTACACTTTTGTTTGGACTTTGGGAATCTATTGCTAATTGTTATTACGTTGATCTTAGGTGGGTCGGCGTTCCTCCATTCCATATCTGTCTGTGTGTGCTCGGTAACTTATCTAGCCAATATTTTACTTGTCTCCGGCTGCGACTGAATGTCTGTAGATAAGAAATGTGTATTGAACATCGGCGTGACCCGGTGCGTAAAGCATGCCTACCCCTGACCCCCCCCCCAAAGAGTGCGAAAATATGATGACTGTAATTCCTACGAAATACATATTGTTTGTTGACAATTATCGCGTGTGCAATAGTTTAATTAATGCATGGTTCCCCTCTCTTTTCTCCCTCGCGTTTGCGCGATGTTGCAGTTTGTATCACTCGTTCATCATATTTGCACTACACCCAGTTCTCATTTTCTCGACACCCATTTTGTAAGCGTTACCATTGCCCCCAACTACCAGTCTCATCCGTCTGCGTGTTTCAGGTTCTCGATGACCCCCGATTCGTCTCTGAACCACTCGCGGGCCACACAGCGAGAGTCCACCTACCTGGCATACATCGCCGGACAGGGTACGTTACACGCACGGACGTGGCGGCCGGCTGGGTTATAGCGATACGGGATGTAGGGGAACTGGTGGGAATGGGGCTTCATGGAACTGCAGACAAAAGTGATGCCGAGGACGTCCGCGGCCGTGCGTCAGATCATAACTGCTTCCTGTGAGGGCCTGCATAAAAGCAGTCTCTGCCCGCCCCCCCCCCTTTCTCAAGTCAGCAGGCGTCTGACGTGCCACCGCCCCATCCCTCCTCAGGTCAGCAGGCGTCGGAGAGCACGGCGGCGTCCACAGTCAGCCTGGCGTCGACGGCCTCCTCTCAGAACACGGTGGAGTCGGCGCACCTGGAGAACGGCGAGAACGGAGTGCACCGGCCGGACGAGCCGGCAGAGACCGACAGTCAACCGGGCACCGCCAAACGGTCCACACACAACAGGTTAGTACAGACACCAACATCACACAGAACGGGGTACACCGGGCGGACGAGCCGGCAGAGACCGACAGCCAGCCGGGGACCGCCAAACGGTCAACACATAACAGGTCAGTACATACCGCCACACGTCATTACACAGAACGGGGTACACCGCGGAGACGAGCCGGCGGAGACCGACAGCCAGCCGGGGACTGCGAAAAGGTCCACACATAACAGGTCAGTACATACCGCCACACATTACACAGAACGGCGTACACCGGGCGGACGAGCCGGCAGAGACAGTCAGCCGGGGACAGCTAAACGGTCCAAACATAATAGGTTAGTACAGACTACACACTGTACACAGACACCACACATCACACAGAACGGGGTGCACCGGACGGACGAGCCGGCGGAGACCGACAGCCAGCCGGGGACTGCCAAACGGTCCACACACAACAGGTCAGTACGGACACCACATGTTACACAGAACGGCGTGCATCGGGCGGACGAGCCGGCCGAGACGGAGAGCCAGCCGGGCACCGCCAAACGGTCCACACATAATAGGTTAGTTGGGGGTACCACTACGAACGATCATTTGGGGATTTGATTGTGCTAGTTGGACATTAGCCGACGCAACTGATGCGCTACTGGCCTCTAGTCTTACCAAGGATATTGGGCATACTACCAACCAATCCCCGCTAGTTCTGCTACTACAGACTGCAAACCACATCCCGGCCTGACCTCCCTCCTCACGACTGCCCCCAGGACCCAGAGCACGGTTCACGATCCGGGCGCGCTGTACCGCTACGACAAACTGCTGGCCGGCGAGGCGCGTGACCTGCTCGTCTGCTTCCTGCACGTGGTGCGTCACGTGCCCGAGGAGCTGCTCATCACGTGGTGGAGGCACGCCGCAGAGGAGGATGTCATCAACTTCTTCACACTCGTCCAGTGAGTCATGGAGGAGCGAGAGTATATGCAGTGGGAGTGGTAGGGCTGGTTGGAAAGGAAATTAATGGTGTATCCAATTCTGAAAACTTAACTTAGATGATGACTTATGTAAATATTCACTTGTGGTTAAGATTGACGGTTTTGCTTTTTTGTACCCATGTTGACATATTATTTATGTTCTCACTTTTTTCGCTGATAACTTCAGAGGACTGATTAAAGTGTTGATACGGGTAACATTTCACGCTCACTGCGTACAACACCTGTCCGCTTCAGGCTGTGTCTGTCCCAGTTCCGGTACACGGGCGGCGTGGTCACGCGCGCCGCTCACCCGCGCACCTCCGAGACCAAGAAGGCGTTCACGCTGCCGGCCAGGATAGAGTCGCCCGGCGGGCCGGCGGCCGGGCTCAACAACGCCTCCTTCGCAGAGTCGCCGGCAGGAAAAGGTGAGACGCGGGTCGCGGGAGGTGTGGTACGGACCCCTACCGGAAGTCGCTGGCCCCTCACTACACCTTTTTAGCCGCGATTTAAAACAGTTGAACTCCATTTTAAAAAAGCTGATCTGTGATTTAAAACTGTTGAACGGGGTTTTAAAACACATGACTTCCGTTTTAAAAGAATTGAATACGATTTTAAAACAACTGACGACGTTTTTAAAACAGTTGAATTTATTTTTAAAATAACTGAACTGCACCTTAAAAAGCGGACCAGTAACACTCCAGCTACACTAATAATGATAATAGCTATATGCTCCCCCGTTTTGCGTCGTCTGCTAGAATTGAATGAAGCGCTGCTTCTTCAAACCGGAAGAGTTCGAGTACATAAATACAAAATATAAAATGTTGTTCTCGTGACTTTCCATTTTCCCACTTTTTCTGTTCAGTATATATGCAAGACTGCCACTCCCAGCGCACCAGGCCATATATAGGTCACTTGGGTCACTTGTCACTGGGCTCAACATTCGAGCGACTGTACATATACATAGATTCTACATAGTAGGTATTGCATTCACTTTATAAAAGGCATATTATATTCGCATTTACTTCAAGGAAAGTATCTACTTTAGACAATGTCATCACCCAGTATCGGTGACTTGATAGTCACCGATGATGAAAAAACTGTCACTGCTGTAAGAGAAGAAATAGCTCAGGCGGCTGCATAAGCTATGCTGGGTGTATAAGGTATGCTGTGTACCGGCTGCATGTAGAATGCCCGAAGATGTGCAAAGATAGATGCGTCACAAAAGCATGACGATTTTCTATGCAAAGTTACATGTGTACATAGTTTCGAATAATTTCGATGTCAGCTAACGACTGTTAAGCAGTGAAACCACTGTCAATGTTATCTGAATAGCCTTGCAATAAATGCAGTGGGATTTTTTATCTTTAAAAACATTGCAAAAAGCAATAATCATAACACATCGGCAAACAAAAATTAGTTACACTTTCAACAGAAAAGGCAAGGTATTAGATAAGGTTGCATGACAACAAAATGCAATAACAATGAATGAGATAATGCTACATTTAGCACACTTTAAAATGCAGTTCAGTTCTTTTAAAAATAAATTCAACTGTTTTAAAATCGTCGTCAGTTGTTTTAAAATCGTATTCAATTCTTTTAAAACGGAAGTCATGTGTTTTAAACCCAAGTTCAACAGTTTTAAATCACAGATCAGCTTTTTTTTAAATGGAGTTCAACTGTTTTAAATCGCGGCTAAAAAGGTGTAGTGCATCCCAGGGTTGTGCTTGACTCATGAGTCGAGTCAGAAATTTGACTCAACTCTGACTCAAATGAGTCAGATTTGAGTCGAGTCGGATAAAATGTTGAGCTGTTGAGTTGAGTCAGAGTTGAGTCGGACAAAAATATTAAGGTGTTGAGTTGAGTCAGAGTTGAGTCAGTAAAATAACTTTCGACATTGAGTTGAGTCAAAAACATTTAGGAACATGAGTCAGCTGACTCAACTTTCTAGAAACAATATATAGCATAAGTTTTTCATTCTCCCCCCGCTTAACAACTTAGGCCTGGCCCTGCAGCCGGATTTTTTCACCCCCCCTCCCGCTCAACAACTTTTTTATCTGAGTCAATTTTGAGTCAACACACTTGACTCAACAAAAAATTTGAGTCAAGTTTGAGTCAACTCATATTTTCATTGAGCCACTTGAGTCATGAGTCGAGTCAAGGGAAAAAATCAGCTCCTTGTTTGAGTCAGAGTTGAGTCAGGGCATTCTGAAGTTAAATGATGAGTTGAGTCGGCAATTTTTTTTTAGTCGAGCACAACCCTGGTGCATCCATTTTTTTTTTTGCATAGACATTCGAATTTCCGGGCCAGGCGACAGCTCACCCCGTTCTGAATCTACATGCCATAGCCGATAGCCATGACAACTTGCTCTTCGATATACCGAGTACCCATCTTGTCGCCTAGTTTGTTGGCCTCATGGATACGACCTCGCTCCTCCAGGCCCGTCGCCGTCGCCGCCCTCCACGCCTCACCTGTCGAGCGAGGCTGCGCTGGTGTCCCTGGACCTGTGCTGCCTGTACTCGGCCCACTACTCGGAGCGGCTGGTGCTGCGCGGCGGCCAGAACGCCCAGATGGCGCTGCTGTCGGGGGTGCTGCTCAGCCTGCTGCACCCGGGACAGGCCGAGGCCGTGCTCAAACACGTGTTCGCCGCACTGAGGATGTTCGTACAGCGGTACGGCAGCGCGCTCTATCATGGTGAGTGGTGTGGGACGAGATATCGGTAGAAGGAAACCCGGTCGGAAATGCGTCCGTTTAGCGGTACAAAGTCCTTTGTACGGGTTGGGATCAATGATTGATGTGATGTTTGATTATCTTGCCTGTTTGTTATAATTTTATGTGTAACCCTCTATTCAACAGTCCTAAATACGAGTATTCTTGTTATTAATTTGCAACAATCCGCTGAATTGAACAAAGACAAGCGTCGTGTTATATCATTCTGAGCCAAAGTCAAACCTACCGACCCTCTGACCCGTCTGTCCCACTACAGGCACTGCGGAGCTGTGCGGTCGTCTGTGCTACGACCTGTTACGCTGCTGTAACAGCCCTCTGGCCAGCTCCCGGCACGAGGCCTGCGCCGTCCTCTACCTGCTGATGAGGGGAAACTTTGAGTTCACCAACCGCAAGGCCATCACCAGGGTCCACCTGCAGGTGGGTCTCTGGCGCGGCCCTGCGGGACGCTGGGGGTGGCTGTGAGGACTTCTGGGTTGTGAGATTCTTGGTTTAAGTCTTTTGGCGACGGTCCGTTTCGCTTTTTTGAGCTGTTGACCAGTTTTAAGCGTTGTCTTTTTTCTTCTACGTCCCGCGGGAGCTAGAAGAATGACCGCAGTAATTCGAAGCAGTGCTCAATATCTTAACACTGTTGTCCATTATTGGGCTTACTGTTTTGGATCCTAGTGAAATATTTTGTATGTTGTGTTGAACGTCACATTGATGTCATTTCTTTATGTCGCAGGTGATAATCAAGGTGTCCCAGCTGCTGGGCGAGTCGGTGGTGCTCGATTCGTCCCACTTTTACGAGAGTCTGGCGCTCATCAACAGCTACGCCAACAGCGACAAGGCCATGACGCGCACCAGTGAGTGACCGACCACCGCTGGGCCGTATGTGGTCGACTGTAGCTGCTGCAACTCATTTTTCATAACCGGCTCGATTCGAAGTGCTTTTTCGATCTTCTCACGTGTACTTGTGTGCGATTCCAAACCTAAAAAGTGAACGCTGCCCGCTGCCCCATATGGATGTCCTAGTTTTCACACTGTGCCATTTCTGGCTCGTTTCTGACATACTCCTTCGTTCAGGTTTTGTGTCTGACGTGAAGGACCTGACGAAGCGGGTGCGGACCGTGCTGATGGCCACGGCGCAGCTGAAGGAGCACGAGAACGACCCGGCCGTGCTGGTGGAGCTGCAGCACAGTCTGGCCAACAGCTACGCCAGCACGCCCGAGCTCCGACAGACGTGGCTGGCCAGCATGGCAAAGTGCCACGTGCGCGATGGCAACCTGTCGGAGGTGGGTACAGACAGCGCGGAGAGAGGGGCCGATGGGGGAGGAGGGGAGGAGTAGGGAGAGGGATGGAGGCAGACCGGATGAAGTGCGCAGGAGTGTATGTCGGCACGATTGGATAAGATTGAATGTTTGGCTGTATCGCAGGAGCGATAGGCATTTGTAAACACTTATGTGTTTAGAATGATTGCTATCTGGTATTTTAAAAGCACTTTTGCAAGCCGAATAATCGAGCCCGTCCAGTGATTTGTATAATTTGACTGCCGTCCATGAGTTCCGCCCACTAACGCTGTTCGCGTGTGCCTATCCCACAGGCGGCCATGTGTCAGGTGCACATCGCGGCTCTGATGGCCGAGTACCTACTGCAGCGGGGAGAGCACGAGACCGGCTGCGCCGCCTTCCGCGCCATATCCGACAACGTGGTGCGGGACGAGAACAACCTGAGGCTCGATCACGGTGAGAGAAGAATGCGATGCTGAGGGGATGAGAGCTCAGAGTCGAGGGATCGCCGTGAGAGTCCCCGGTTGGACTGAGTCCCATTTCGTTGTCTGAGGTCTCTCGTCGCTCGACCTGCAGCGGTTGCAGTTCTGGTTGGCTCGTTTTTTGAGGTTATCGAATGTCGTGTTTTACCTTAAAATGCCGTTTAACAAGCATATAGACGACATGTCGTGCATCAGTTATCTACGCACGGACTTAAGCAAGTGATGTTCAGCTTCTGACCTTCCCTGACCTGCCCTGCGCCCTCGGCAGGTATCGGTGACCTCTGCTACACGGAGGACTCGCTGGTGGCCCAGCTGAAGGTCTGCGCAGAGGCTATGGAGGCGTGTGAGAGGCACGAGCTGATCGCCGACATCTACGACATCCTCATACCCATCTACCGGAAACGCAGGAGGTACGGGGGCGCTCCTTTCCCTTAGGAGGCCGTAACGGACGTATTGATCCGTATACAAGATTGATATTTTGCTTGGGGAGCCGGGAGGGGCCTCAGCGATAGTATTCACATTTCGTTCTGGAAGCTCTTTCCTTTTCCACTTTTAGTAAATATTTTTGTTTGGAACGTAACCAGTAGTTCTTTACTTGCACCGTCTCTCGTACGTTGTTTAGCCCTTGGTTTAGCCGTTTGTTGATGGTATCTCCGGACTGGGGGTGCTCTGTTGTTTTCCTTGCATTTACCTCTGTTCTCTGACCCTATTATCTCCCCGTGTTGCAGCTACTCCGAGCTGTCGCAGGTCCACCACCATCTGGAGCGGTGCTACTCCCTCCTGACCCTACTACCACCTCCGTCCGCTGGCCCTGACTGACCCTACTCCCTCCCCGTGTTTCAGCTACTCCGAGCTGTCCCAGGTCCACCACCATCTGGAGCGGTGCTACAACCGGATCGTGCAGCTGAACGCCTCCGGACGCCGGCTGCTCGGCACCTACTTCCGGGTCATCTGTCTGGGGCAGGTCAGTCACGGGGTCATCCGTCGGGCCTTCTGGTCGAGTGGAGTCGAATTTGTTTTCTGTGCACTTTCAGTCATGGTAGTTTGTCGCCTTTTGTTCCAAATATGGTTTGTTTTTCCTTATTTATTTGCATTTCGTATCAAAACTTGTATCATGGAAACTTGTTTTCGTGTCGGCTTGACGGTTTACGAATTTCGTCATTTCATCGCCGCTTTTTCAAGACTGTCCCACCAAACGTTGGCTCCACACCTGACGGTGACACTGTGCCACTGTCTGCAGAACTACTTTGACAAGGACCATGACCGCGAGTACGTGTACAAGGAGCCCAAGGTGACGTCGCTCTCGGAGGTCAGCGAGAAGCTGCTCCAGCTGCACGTCTCCAAGTTCGGCAGGGACTACGTCAGGATGATCAAGGACTCGGCGCCGGTACGTAGCGCCATCTAGGCCGTCTCTAACCCAGCCTGGACTCGGCTCAGGCCTCCTGCCACGTTTCCCGGATTTTGGTTGTTACTTGTTGAGGGGCTTTTATGTGGAACAAGTAAATGTGAAGGTGGAGCTTGACGTGTGGAGGGAGGGTGGAGGGTAAGTCTGGTAGATTATTCTTTTTATGCGAGCGACTTCGTATTTGTGACTTTTGACCCCTGACCGCAGACCTCAGACCTCAGATCTCTTACCCTTTACATTAGACACCTGACTGACCTCTCTCGTGTCGTGTGCCGTCTGGCTCAGGTGACGATGTCCGAGCTGGACCCGCGGTTCGCCTACATCCAGGTCACCCACCTGACCCCTCACTGGGACGAGGTCGACCTGGACGCGCGGCCCACCGAGTTTGAGCACAACAACAACATCAAACAGGTGCGTGTAGTGGTGACAGACCCGGTGGATCACTAACTGGGGGTACGGTGTCTTCAACGGTCGGCGGCGCTAAGGTTATTTTTAGTGTTTCTATAGGCGGGTTGAGGACTGGTTGCTTGGTTGTTGCTGGAAGCTTTCTAACCCCGGGATTGGACTATACATTGGACTGTATGCGGCAGAGGAGAGTACGCCATTGTATCTTTCAGTTTTTGCCGTATTGTGTGTCCGTTTCCATTTATGAAATATCTACGTCCGTTGTGTTTCAGTTTATGTACGAGACGCCGTTCACACGTGAGGGCGGCGCGCACGGTACAGTGGAGAAGCAGTGGCGCCGGCGGACGGTGCTCACCACCGACTACTGCTTCCCCTACGTGCGGACCCGGATACCCGTCATACGCAGACAGGTGAGGGGATTTAATACAGCGGGTAATACCGCCGACTACTGCTTCCCCTACGTGCGGACCCGGATACCCGTCATACGCAGACAGGTGAGGGGATTTAATATAATGGTATCATACCACCGACTACTGCTTCCCCTACGTGCGGACCCGGATACCCGTCATACGCAGACAGGTGAGGGGGGGGGATACCGCCGACTACTGCTTCCCCTACGTGCGGACCCGGATACCCGTCATACGCAGACAGGTGAGGGGATTTAATATAATGGTATCATACCACCGACTACTGCTTCCCCTACGTGCGGACCCGGATACCCGTCATACGCAGACAGGTGAGGGGGGGGGGATACCATCGACTACTGCTTCCCCTACGTGCGGACCCGGATACCCGTCATACGCAGACAGGTGAGGGGGGGGGGGATACTATCGACTACTGCTTCCCCTACGTGCGGACCCGGATACCCGTCATACGTAGACAGGTAAGGGGGGGATACCACCGGCTACTGCTTCCCCTACGTGCGGACCCGGATACCCGTCATACGCAGACAGGTGAGGGAATTTAATACAGCGGGTAATACCGCCGACTACTGCTTCCCCTACGTGCGGACCCGGATACCCGTCATACGCAGACAGGTGAGGGGATTTAATATAATGGTATCATACCACCGACTACTGCTTCCCCTACGTGCGGACCCGGATACCCGTCATACGCAGACAGGTGGGGGGGGGGGGATACCGCCGACTACTGCTTCCCCTACGTGCGGACCCGGATACCCGTCATACGCAGACAGGTGAGGGGGGGGGGATACCATCGACTACTGCTTCCCCTACGTGCGGACCCGGATACCCGTCATACGCAGACAGGTGAGGGGGGGGGGGGATACTATCGACTACTGCTTCCCCTACGTGCGGACCCGGATACCCGTCATACGTAGACAGGTAAGGGGGGGATACCACCGGCTACTGCTTCCCCTACGTGCGGACCCGGATACCCGTCATACGCAGACAGGTGAGGGAATTTAATACAGCGGGTAATACCGCCGACTACTGCTTCCCCTACGTGCGGACCCGGATACCCGTCATACGCAGACAGGTGAGGGGATTTAATATAATGGTATCATACCACCGACTACTGCTTCCCCTACGTGCGGACCCGGATACCCGTCATACGCAGACAGGTGAGGGGGGGGGGGATACTATCGACTACTGCTTCCCCTACGTGCGGACCCGGATACCCGTCATACGTAGACAGGTAAGGGGGGGATACCACCGGCTACTGCTTCCCCTACGTGCGGACCCGGATACCCGTCATACGCAGACAGGTGAGGGAATTTAATACAGCGGGTAATACCGCCGACTACTGCTTCCCCTACGTGCGGACCCGGATACCCGTCATACGCAGACAGGTGAGGGGATTTAATATAATGGTATCATACCACCGACTACTGCTTCCCCTACGTGCGGACCCGGATACCCGTCATACGCAGACAGGTGGGGGGGGGGGGGGATACCGCCGACTACTGCTTCCCCTACGTGCGGACCCGAATACCCGTCATACGCAGACAGGTGAGGGGGGATCCACCGACTACTGCTTCCCCTACGTGCGGACCCGGATACCCGTCATACGCAGACAGGTGAGGGGATTTAATATAATGGTATCATACCATCGACTACTGCTTCCCCTACGTGCGGACCCGGATACCCGTCATACGCAGACAGGTGGGGGGGGGATACCGCCGACTACTGCTTCCCCTACGTGCGGACCCGGATACCCGTCATACGCAGACAGGTGAGGGGGGGATACCACCGACTACTGCTTCCCCTACGTGCGGACCCGGATACCCGTCATACGCAGACAGGTGAGGGGTGGGGGGATACCACCGACTACTGCTTCCCCTACGTGCGGACCCGGATACCCGTCATACGCAGACAGGTGAGGGGGGGGGGGGGTACCGCCGACTACTGCTTCCCCTACGTGCGGACCCGGATACCCGTCATACGCAGACAGGTGAGGGGGGGATACCACCGACTACTGCTTCCCCTACGTGCGGACCCGGATACCCGTCATACGCAGACAGGTGAGGGGGGGGGATACCACCGACTACTGCTTCCCCTACGTGCGGACCCGGATACCCGTCATACGCAGACAGGTGAGGGGGGGGTACCGCCGACTACTGCTTCCCCTACGTGCGGACCCGGATACCCGTCATACGCAGACAGGTGAGGGGTGGGGGGATACCACCGACTACTGCTTCCCCTACGTGCGGACCCGGATACCCGTCATACGCAGACAGGTGAGGGGGGGGGGATACCACCGACTACTGCTTCCCCTACGTGCGGACACGGATACCCGTCATACGCAGACAGGTGAGGGGGGATACCACCGACTACTGCTTCCCCTACGTGCGGACACGGATACCCGTCATACGCAGACAGGTGAGGGGATTTAATACAGTCTGCGGTGGCTGGGGCGTTTTGATGTTAGCTGTACGGAAGTTGTGAGTCCGTGTTTGAGATAGAATTGTTTATGTATCTTTAACTCTTTAGTATGCCACTATTGTTTTCTCTCCTCGCATTTACATCACACCCTCTCTCCGGATTTTCACATCTCTCCCTCGGTCTCCTCCCCCGTACAGGAATACGAGCTCTCCCCGATCGAGGTAGCCATCGCCGAGATGACCCAGAAGACCCGAGACCTGCTGGACGTGGTGGAGCGCCAGCCGACCGACGTCAAAAAGCTGCAGCTCCGACTGCAGGTAATGACCGGGTGGAGAACCGAGTCAAAAACTACAGCTCAGACTATATGATTTTGTCTCGCGGGTAGGTTTTTCCCGTACCTATTAGTTCCTACCTATTAGGCAGTTCCTATTTTTCTTCAATTACAGCTCACTATTTGTTATTTTGGATGTTTTATATAACATGATGTTTGCTTCGGCACCTGCCGCGTCAGTTTAGTATGTTCCTCAGTGTGTCTCACTCTCCCGTCTGCTCTCGCCCCCTCAGGGCAGCGTCAGTGTGCAGGTGAACGCCGGCCCTCTGGCGTACGCCTCGGCCTTCCTGGAGGAGAGTGTGCAGCGCACCTTCCCCGGCGACAAGGTCTACCAGCTCAAGCAGGCGTTCCGCGAGTTTGTGGAGGCGTGCCACCGCGCGCTGGAGCTGAACCACCGGCTGCGCGCCGACGACCAGGCGGACTACCAGAGCTCCCTGGTGGCCGGCTTCCGTGACCTGGTGGCCGCGCTGGGCACGATACTCGGCGAGAGCTTCCCCGTGGAGCTGGAGTCGGCGGCGCGCAACTCGCAGCATCTGAGCGTCTACACGCTGCTCAGCAGTGTCACCGGCTCCAGCTCCGTGTGAGCGAGGACGGAGGTTGGGAGGGGCGAGAGACGAGGACGGAGACTGAGACATAGACACTAGATGGCGGTGGGCGATAGGGGACGGAGACGTAGATTGAGATGGAAACCGTAGATTGAGATGGAAACTCAGACAAAGGGGAGAGAGACGGAGGTGACGGATCCGCGGGAGGCGGTAAATGCGGACGCACGTCTGTACCAGCTCTCTGCTGTCTGGCTCGGCTGCTGTGGTGCCATATGCCTTGCTGAGGATGACTGTGGTGACTCCGGTATAGAGCTGTTGAGCTGAAAACCAGAGATAACTCGTTAGGAGGTTACTGTGTGATTGCGGGTCGTGCCCTGCAAACCTGTTCCGTCAGTTTGCGAACCTGCTGCGTCAGTTGATCTGTATGCCGATTTTATGAGTCTACTGCAGCGGGTCGTTAGCATGCTGCGTCAGTTAGCGCCTCCGCTGCGTTACTTTGTGAAGTTGCGCGTCACTTTGTGAAGTTGCGCGTCAGTTTGTGAAGTTGCGCGTCCGTTTCGTACCTGCTGCGCGGCCGTTCCCGTTTCTGCCGTTCGTTTGTGCCAAATGTGTGCTGTTCCGAGCTGGAGTACAGCCGAGCGCTGCAGGGTATCGTTACGGTCTGATCTGCGCCGCTGTTGGTGGAGTGAGTGAGTGTCCGCCCGCTGTCGGTGGGCGAATGTCGCGAACCTTGTGCGTTCCCTCCACAATGCACTCCGTAGTCAGCCGAATTACAGTTCGACACTGTCACGCCAGGCAATAATACCACAGTGCTCAACCACTGATGATGCGATAATGTTACAATGCTAGTCATTTTGTATTTATTTGTGTTTTAACTTTGTGGCTCTCCGTATTTAACTCCCTGACAGACTACTCCTCGCGCGAACTGCTGTGCTGCTCCGCGCAAATGTGTTGTGTTTCGTTCTGTCGCGAGCAGAGGTGAACCCGTGCCTCAGTCAGTGTGTCTGGTCCGGTATCCCTGTGCCTTCCCCGGTGATCACGGTGACGTGGACGGTGATGTGTGCCCATCGAGGCACGAATGTTCTCGTCGGAAAATAGAATTGCGATATTTCGGTGAGCGGCGTTTGAACGTGGTTCGAGAGGTGCTGCTGGAGAAGAATGGATTGAATCATTTTCTATGCACCAGTCATTCTTAATTCTCAGCTTTGGCCATGGATATAGATTCTTTATTCATTCGACTTCGAAACGTTGCGGAATAAAACTTCGCTGATAGTTATTGGGAGTTTTTTCGGCTTGGTAGGGGAAATTTAGCAGCCGTAGCCGTTTTGTGCTGCCATATCAAAGACATTTGTGAAGTGGGAGGGACGACATCCGCCGCACAACAATTCGCAAAATTCTGCGAACTGCGCCGTTCATTTCAAATCGTGGGAGCTCGCGGAGCGGTCATTTTTACGTGAATTTGTCAGGCTATTAAGGTAAGATAGTTGCCCTCTTTAATGTTCTTTTTTCTTGAAGGCTTCAACTCTAGAGGGCTTCTTTACAATAAAGTCAATCGGACGAAATTTGCCGAAAACTAAGTCGGAAGGGTGGTTGTATGCGGTATCGGTAACCCTGGCGTCACCGGTAGCGTTTTCGTTCAAGGTTAAGGTTTCCTGTATTAGGCAGCATTAGGCCACCGTGCCAAGCCGAAGCATGCTGTGACGTCACTGGGTAAGAGAACGTCTCAGATCGACTCAGAACGACTCAAACTGACTCAGACCGACTCAACCGACTCAAATCGATTCCGATCGACTCAGACCGACTCGGAACGACTCAACCGACTCAAATAGATTCCGATCGACTCAGACCGACTCAGAACGACTCAAACTGACTCATACCGACTCAACCGACTCAAATCGATTCCGATCGCCTCAGACAGACTCAGAACGACTCAGGCAGACTCAAACCGACTCAGGCAGACTCAAACTGACTCGACCGACTCAGAACAACTCAAACTGACTCAGACCGACTCAACCGACTCAAATCGATTCCGATCGACTCAGACAGACTCAGAACGACTCAAACTGACTCAGACTGACTCAACCGACTCAAATCGATTCCGATCGACTCAGACCGACTCAGAACGACTCAAACTAACTCAGACCGACTCAACCGTCTCAAGTCGATTCCGAGTTAACTCAATTAGTGCTATTACTTATAAAGGTATTTTTCCATAAAAGGCATCCAAAAAGTTCTTAAGGCCTGGCTACACTATGCGTTAGCTCATTCTACATGTTTTTTTTTGCGGAATGTTGTTCTAGAAAGAAACAACATTACCTATGTTTTTGTTATATGTTTTATATATTAACTTTTATTTGGTATCAACATTTTATTAACTTTTATATAAATATTAAACAAATTATATTAACAACTTTTCTAGAAAGATATTATGCAAAACACGCAAACTCACAAAAAACGCACACAGAAAACTCATAGTGTAGCCAGGCCTTTATAGAACTGCAGATTTACAAATATGTTCCTTGAAGGCCTGGCAGATTCTGATAACTGATTTAGGTTTTAGTTCATGGTTTCCTACAAAATAAATCATGTTTGCTACACAGACTTAATTCCCCAGCAATATTGTGATATACCTAGTTATGTGCTGATGGCTCACTGAGCTGTGCTGAATGCTGAGTGGCTGACCATGCTAGCCACAGAGGTGCACAGGCTGATTGCTTGTTGATTGAGATTGCCCAGATCATCTGAACCAGGTGGCATGTCTCTGTATGGGCGTGACCCACCAGGGCAGTCCTCACAGGGCCATACAACACATAGGCACAACATGACTCAGACTACTCAATTCCGAGGGTAACTCATTTTAAGTTATCATTCTGTGCATCAAACTGTTTGTGATGGACTTTGTAAAACTCGCTGTACTGGGAGAGCCATATTTTGGACTTAATTCTGCCGCTCTGCGTCATGCGTGTAGCAGGAATTACTGAATGGTTATAGCCATGGGTACTGTTTCACGGCACTCTGTCAGCGCATTTTGCGAGCTGGCGTCATATGTTATGGTCAAGTCACTCAATGTCGGAGCCTCCGAGTTTGTTGATGTCTCCATGGAAATCGAATTTGCCATGTGTGACTGCTGGCAGTCTGCTGGCAGCGGCCGTGAAACACTGTCATGGTCCGACCGTGGGCTGGATCTACGCAACAATCTGTGCGAATCATGAATCCATGGACGTTGGACAACCAACGACCAATGGGCTCATATTGACATTTTGTGAAGTTTGCTGTGCTCCCTTTACCTTGCGTTCGACATCCTGGAAATGAGGTATAATTATCCGGGATCACTTTGGTAATAATTTGGTATTGCAGGGACCATCGATGCAATTAATCACATTTTTAGATTGCTTTTGCTTCACTAATGGCTCTTTTACTCGTTGTTATGTCCGTTGTACACGGTGTTAGCCTAAAACACCGAATGATCCCGGTGATCCCGGAAAATTATCCCTGATTATCTGGATGCCGAATGCACGCTTAATATGCTGTAACACCCGACCTACAAAATGTGAGGTGCCGACAGCTCACAGCGTCAGTCACTCAGCGTCATGCAACCTCACTTTACCAGCTCAATGTGTCGGACCTTGGACGGGGCTGTGACCCACAGTGCAGGCTCATCATCCGCCTTTCGGCGGTACCTGGTAGTTCCGGTGACGTCATCGTTCACAGTCCGCCCGTGTTCGCGGTATTACCGCCCTTACTGCTGGGAATCCGTATCGGCCGACCGACCCTGTCGCCTGCCGCGGCTGCCAGGCCGGCTGACGCACCGGTCATTCATGGACGGTAGTAGTTCTGTTGGACTGTGGACCGGCCCTGCGGGCCGGCTCCTCCCTGAACTGTGACCCGCGGGGGAGGTCGCCTGCCCCTCCCCACGCCGTCGTGGTGCTCGTCGCTGTGCGGGAGGGGCGACTCGCAGTCGGTGACGGTGGACGATAGAGGGAGGGCGGCAGGCGGCCGGCAGCACCGCGGTACCCGACACGTGCGTCCCGTCTGTGTCTAGTCTAGTCTCGTCCGCTCAGGGTCGGTCCTCTGCAGTGCTCCTCTCTCACTCATCACAGAGTGACCGGCTGGCAGTTGTGTTCAACGGACAGGAACCAAACAGGCAGGTAGAGAGCGGGATAGTGTGGACGGAAGTGGAGGCCACACGTGGCCGTCAAATATTTGTCCCTTGCATAGGTATGTAGTGTTTTGGTGAATCCTGGCGTGTTCGGGGTAGTCACCCCCTCCCGTTGTAAGAACTAGGTGAAGTGGTTCGTTTCCTTTGTCCATCTGCCGGCCCGCATCTCTCCCGTGTGCGTGTGCCAGTGACGCGGCCCTGACTGAGCAGCTAACCGACCGCCGGTTTTTCTGCTACCGGGACCCTTTGTTGGCCGTCCACCAAACGGCCTTGCGGCTGGCCGCGTTGTTTTTAGGCCGCTGGTGGTTGTGCAAGTTACCTGTTTTGCTCAGGTGCGGCTCCGTCGGAATATTTTATCATGTTGTCTGATTGATGGTGGCGTGACGACGACTGCCTGTAGTCGGATTGTCAATACCGAGGGTGGCAGTGCCGGACTACTGTACTGCCTCAGCGTGCTCCAAAGGTCTCGTATTCATCGGTAAATAACTCTTGTTGGAATGTAAAGCCGACGTGAACTAGGGGCTCGGAGTATGCCGCAATGCCAGTTATTGACCGTAAAGCTTTCTATAATAACTTGATCGGACGCCGTCAAACTGGATTTCTGGGTTGTTGTAGCCTTGACATTCTGTATATGATATTAGATTTGCTTATATAAGCGACGCCTGGCGACGCTGGAACGGCTGCCAACTGCAATAACTCTAAATTATGTAACGTTGCCAAGCAATGTCATACTTCTTCCTGCAAATTTATAGTGCCTGGGGACACTCACACTAATTGTGAGGCATACCATCCAACAGACCCCAGTGCTCAATGGACCGTGCTCCGCTAATGTGAGCCTCTCTTAGTCTAATACAGCGTTGAGAATATCATATACAATATCTTAGACGTACTTCCAGTGACCCCCGCTCCCGTGTCATCCAGTGGTCCGTCAAATCTACACCGATGAACACATGTTTGTCAAGCATTCTTTACGCCCTATAACTACTTCGTTCCGCCGGTACAATAATGCAACGATGCTGGACGCCCTCGTAACCTCGCTCTAACCTCCCCGTCTTCTCTGTCTTCCCAGGTCTAACGATGCTGGGCACCGTCGTAACCTCGCTTTAACCTCCCTGTGTACTCTCTCCCCAGGTCTAACGATGCTGGGCACCGTCGTAGCCTCGCTCGGGGTGGGCGTGGCCGCCAGCGTCATGTTCGTGTATGACGTCATAACGCTACCAATCTACACCATCCTACAGAAGCCCTGGGTCCGGATCAAAAAGGCCAAAAAGATTCGGGTGAGTACATAGGACATGACTTTAACTCTGGGTTTGTTGTCTGTTACGGTCTAGCTCAGGTAGCAGTGTTGAATGTATTGTTTAGTTGTATCGACCGGTTGTCGTGCGATGCTATCAGTTAGCGTTAATGTTTGACGGAGGGGTCGTTGTAACTGCCGGGGGTGGCACGCGGTTATACAATCGATGGAGCTGGAAACAAACAGGTAAGATTGGAAGCACCTCGGTGCTGTTGCAGCGACTACGAATGCCACTATCTAAATCATCAATGAAAGCTTCAGTTAGCATTTGCGTAAGTGCTGTGCTGTAGCGGTGGAGCCAAGTTGAAAGAGGACTCCGGGACGAACCGAGCTTCACTTGCTCTCCATTAGTCAACGTCCTCACACAGCCGTGGAATCACTGGAAATCGAGTCCTCACGCAGTCCCCGTCCAGTCCTCGCCGTGTGTGGTCGGTCGGGTCGTGTCAGTCCAGCGGACCGTCCTCACATGACTGGTACGGAGGACAGGCGCCGACCCGACCTCTGCACTGGTGTCGTGTGGTCGGCCCGTCCACGGGTCGACTGTTTGTTTGACTTGTCGCCCGTGTTGTAATAATGCCAGAGACCGCACGGGTCCACTGGTGCTCTTTGGACGCAGACTGACACGGGATGTCCGATGTATCGAGACTGGGGAGAATCTACGTGC